CTTCCATGCCGCGCCTCCTCCTCTTCCCCCCCTCCTCCTCCTCCCCCCCTCGTTCCCTTCCCTTTCCCCTTCCCCTCATCCCCCCCCCTCCTCCTCTTCCTGATGCTGCTGCTGCTGCTGCCCCTCCTCCTCATCATTTTTTCGCAGCCATTTTGGCATCGGGCGGTCGGCGCCCCGCCCCGCGCCCCGCCCGCCCCACCCCCCCCCCGCCGCTTCCCCGCCGGCCTTTGTCGGCCATGGAGCCGCTCGCGAAACGACGGAGGGTCCTCGATATGTTGAGCAGGCGGAACTTCAGCGAGAGCGACGTCGTAGCGGCGCTTGCCGCGCTGGGGGGAGATGACGCGGCGTCTCGGCGAGATGCGCGGGAGTGCGTGGACACGTTCACTGCGGACGTTCTGGTTCAGCCGACTCTGCAAAAGCAGGGCGGCGACGGTTTTGACTGGACCATCGCCAAGTACCAGCTTCTTCTCCCGAGGTGCATTGCCCAGTGCGCGGGCTTCAGGGGGGAGTTTGAGAACGCAGCGGCGAGGTCACCAAATAGTTTCGACAGGCCGTGGCGCCTGGCGCTCTACATAGATGACGCGGTGCCTGGCGATGCTTTGAGATTGAACAGCAAGCGAAAGGCTTCGCGCTGGTATATCGGCGCACTGGAGATGGGACGCTATCTGCGATGCGAAGAGGCACGGCTGCCCGTCGGGGTGTTGCGCGCCACCATTGCTAAAGATATGCAGGGGGGCTTCCCAGCGGCGGCTGGGGCGCGCCTGCGTTCGCTCCTGCTCGGCGCCGACAGCGCCTCCACGGCCGGCGCGGGCGCGTCGCGCGGTGGCCAGTCAAGGACTAGGCATTTCAAGCTTCAGCGGTTGATCGGTGACGAAGTTGCGACGAATGTTTTCTTCGATGCGAGAGGTTATGGCGGCGTTCGGTGTTGTTCCATAGCCTACAGAAGCGTAGTGAAGCTGAGCAAAGATGGCGTGGCATATTCTCTGGCCAATCATCAGACTGGCACGTACCTGGTCGACGTCTCGTGCTCTGACCCCTCGCAGTTCGACCCGATGACAGACGAGGACGTCTGGCGCACGCGCGACATTCTGGACGCAGCGCGCAGGCGTGGTGTGTGTGTGTGTGTGGGGGGGGGGGGGGCGTTGAAATCGGCGCAGACGGCGATGGGGTTCTCTGGAATGAACGCGGCGTTCTGGCCGACAAGGATCGCCGCCCGCACGTGCCCCCGCATTCCTGCCTTCTGCGCGATTGCATGCACGTGTATTTGGCAGGCGGCATCGTGAATATTGAGACTGGCTTGCTTTTGAATTCAATTGCTGAGTGTACCCCTGGATTTTTTCCCCGATTGCTCAAGACGTTCGCTGAGGCAGACTGGCGCTGGAGCCCTGGAGGTTCAACCAGGAGCGAGTTCGCTGATATATTCAACGAATCTCGGGAGAAGGCGTGGAAATCAGGTGGTCTGTTTCGCGCGGGGGCATCAGAACTATTGTTTGCGTACCCATTCATCCGATATGTTGTCGTTGAACACGCCCCCGTGCATGAGGTCCAGCTTGAGCGCCAGAGCTACCTTCGTCTGCGCGAAGTTCTGGACAGCATCAACAAGGCAAAGCACTATTCCACGCCTTTGGCTATGAAATATACCATGGTGCGCGCAGTTGGCCGTTTTCTTGACGCGTGCAAGGCTGCGTGCAGCATCGATGCCATCGTCCCAAAACACCATTATCAGTGGCACGCTGTGTCAGACCAGGAGGACGATCTATTTCTCGATCGCTTTGTGCACGAAAGAAAGAACAATATCGTGAAGCAATCAATGACTCGCATCGCGAACACGGAGACATTCGAGAAGAGCTCTGTCCAGCAGCTTCTCGTCAAGGTGTTCCCAGCGATGGACAAAATCAATATGACCGAATTGTGCGAGCCCGTGGCTGTGAGCCAGCCGCTGTCCGACAAGTTTGGCCAGCTTTGCGTCGTGTCCAAACAAATGAGGTGGCGGGGCTTGCTGCTCAGAGCTGGCAGCTTGGTTTTCATTCAAAACACGGCAGTTGAGGTTCAAGCGCGCGCTTCCGTGGGTGGCGTTTTAGCGCTGATCGTGGGAAAGCTTGCGCTGATGCGTCGTGAGCCCCTCGGTGGGTACTTTATCTGGAATAGAATGGGACAGTCCGAGCTCCTGGTGCCCGAGGGGGCGCGCAAGGCGACTGGATGGTTCCTCAAGAGCGACAACACGCTTGCGGCGGTGCATCGAGCGCGGAAAAATCATATGACAAAAAAGCGGATCAGCCGCTGCAGCGGATTACCCGCTCATCATCATCATCATCATCGTCATCATCATCATCAGCATCATCATCATCACCGCCATCATCATCATCACCGTCATTCCTCCACCTCCTCTTTCTTCCCCCTGTTCGCTGGCGGGGAAAACAGAACGCCCGCTAGCGGATAAGCCGCCACATGCGTCGCTTTCACGTCCCTCTTCCCCTTCCTCGTTTTCCTCCGCCACCTCCTCCCCCTCTTCTTTCCCCTCCTCTTTTCGTTGTGCCGCTAGTTTGTTTGCCATGCGTCAGCTTGTCCAGTTGTCCATTCGGAGGTTAGTTAACTTATAGTGCGTAGTTTGTATAATACGTCGGTCTGCTAATTTTGACATATGAGATAGTATGTTAGATATATAACCGTAGTTGTGTCTTACTTGTTTTACTGGGTGATGTTGCGAACATGTTAACATTCATAAGGTCGTATATATATATTGTACATGTGTTCAGACATATAAGTAGGGATACTGCTGCTTATAAGTAGGGATGCTACTACTTATAGACCGTATAAACTACAACAACTCTCTCGGCCATCCAAGCAGGGCCGGGACCTGGGCCAGAGCTGGGGCCAGAGCGGGCCGGGAGCCAGGGCGGGCCGGGGCCCGGGCCGGGGCCGGGGCCGAGGCTGGGACGTCTGGGGCCGGGGCTGGGGCCAGGGCCGGGACTTGGGCCAGGGCCGGGGCCGGCGGGGCGCGGGCCGGGGCCGGCCAGGACCGGTGCCAGGGCCGGGGCCGGGGTTGGGACTCGGGCCGGGGCGGAGCCTGGGGCCGGGGCCGGGGCTGGGGCGCGGTAGAATGTTTCGGCCTTTAGCCTGTTTGAGGCTTCGCGCGGGCCCCGGAGCCCCTAGGGGGGGAGTCATATCTGACGCGGGCCCCCCCCGGGACCATGGGCGGCCGCTTGCAGCTCGATCAGGATGAGATTAAACAGCTTTGGTCCGCACATCTACCAGAACTCACTGGAGCCGAAGCAGAGGAAAAGGCAACAACAATTGCATCATATGTGTTCATCAGCTCACGCGGTGCATTAGCACATGCCTTAATCATCCATTCTTTGGCAAATTATACATGTGGATTCTTTACAACGTGTCCAAGAACCGAACAACATACAGGCACGGCGATTCAGCCCCGGAACACGTAAACTACCCAAAATAATTTATTTGCAAAATGATGTCTCCGACAGGAGAAGCGGGCCTTCATTGTGGCTCAGGCAATCGACGCTTCAACGGCAAAGCCGACGACGATGTCAAGAGGGCATGGCATCCGAGGAGCCAACCTCTTGCTGCGCGGCCACGCGCCACGCGGCAAGGCGGTCGACGTGCGCTGCAAATCACATCGACTGCAGGCGCGTTCCAGCTACTCTGCCGAACACCCTGGCAGCAGCCCGTCTTTTGGAAGACTGCTATCCTACCATCGGGGCGCTACACGAGCTAAAGGCCGGACCATGCACTCACGCCGACGCAATTCAAGAATACTTAGAGATAGGTGGTCAAACATAAAGACCATCCCCACCATCGACGCTGAGTCGGCCTTCAAGTCCTTACCCAGTAAGAATATGAAGAAGCCAACTTGATGCACCCTGCTGGAACACATCAGCTGTATCCGACAGATGATGGATCGAGGTATGGCTCATAGCGCACAGTGGTGTGATACACGAGATCTGACGGCTGACTGTCAAACCAAAGGCCGTATTGATCGTGAATTACTGCTGCATGTTATGGCAGAAATACAGCCATCCAAGGGTGAGGTGAAGCGGTACACAGCCTATAGAGGGAACACGACAAAACATCCTAGTCCGGCCCACGTCAGGGCCAGCAGATATTGCGTCTAATTCGAGCAGGCTGATAGCTTGCATATGCACGGCCACAGGCTATCGCCTGGTCACGGGCTACACGTCGGTATCTGCCCGGTCACGGGCTATGTGTCAGTATTGGCCCGGTCACGGGCATTATTTTTGTTGCACCATTGGTGTTTGAAGGTCGCTTCTGTACCCGTCTAAGTTTGGGCGACTTACTTTATAGATGCTTTTGCTAGCCGCGTGCGGAGGCCTCCCGCGGCTAGCCACAACGAGTGTGCTGACCGCGTGCGGAGATCTCCCGCGGTCATCCATATATGGATTGCTGTACTTGTACTGTTTGCGAGGGTTGTCTGAAACAATTGCCCTCCCGACTGCTTTATTCTATTGCTGCTTCTATGTTATATGGAAGTCCCCTCCTGACTTTGAGCGAAAGTCAATGCGCGAAGGCGAGCATAGCGAGCACCTTGCCTACGTCCGACGCCGCTCGGCTCAAGCGGCGCCGCTCTTATTGGTTACCTTGCGCCTGTGATGTACACTTGCACCGGAGTAGCGGAAAAAAGGAGACGCCCACATCCTTCGACGGTGTGCCCTCTCTTACCTACCGGTTATTCTTCAGTATCGTATGAACTATGGGTTGCCACGATACGTCTACGACGTTGTCATGTAATGCAGGGTAACGGCTCACACCCTCCTGATCCTCTTGTTTCTCTCTTTCCCCAAAGGAGGAGGAGGAGGAGGAGGAGGAGGAGGAGAAGAAGAAGGATGAGGAGGAAAAGGAGGACGAGGAGGAAGAGGAATTTGAGGAGTAGGACGACGAAAAAGTGGAGGAGGACTGGGCGGATGATTAGGTCCTTCAGTCTCCTCCTCCTTCCTCCCCTCCTCCCCCGCCGCTGCCTGCAGGGGTTCCGCTTGCGTGCCGGGGCCTGTGCTCGCGGCGCCAGTGTCGAAGAGCGCGTGCGCCGCGGCGCAGAGGAGCGGGGGGCTCTTCAGGGGCAACGTTGGAAGGTTCTTCGATTTCTCCCGATCCGATGTTTTCCGATTCTGGTTTCGTCTTACCCCGCAGGAGGAAGAGGAAGAAGAGGAGGAAAACCAGTGTGAACCCAAGACACACCAACGATGTTGCAGTAAGCCCTTCTTCCAAGTTCCTGGTCCATATGTACCTACAAGACTTGTTTGGTCATTGCGGGAAGTGCCCCGCGAAAGGCAACCGTCCGAGAATCCCGAACCGCGCCAAAACACCATTCTTGGGATTTCAACGCCGCGAATCAACCTTCGTGTTGCGTCCTGACGATTCTGAATCGCGTAAGAACGCCGTTCTCGGGACTTCAACACCGCGAATTCATGTGACGGTCGCGCCCTAACAGCGCCTTGACGGTCCTACATCGTGTCAACAATCTTGCAAACATTCAAGACACATGTATACGGTGCCAAGGCGAGAGCCACATTTTGAAAACCACCCGCCCTCCATCCGTGAAATTGCTGCAGGCTGTTACGACGAATGTGCGCGGCGCGAAGGCGAGAGCCACGTTATGAAAACCACCCGCCCTCCATTTGTGAAATTGTTGTGACTTGTTAGCTTAAGGACCATATGTTGTGAAGCAGTCTCAGGCGAAACGCCAGGCCCGCCCTACCGATACGTCTCGGGGTGCGACGGGGGGGAGTTGCTTATAAGGAAAAAGATGGAATGGGAGGGCAAGCAGGGGTGAAGAGAGGGGTGAAGAGAAGGAGGAGGAGGAGGAAGAGAAGGAGGAGGAGGAGGAAAAGGAGGCGGAGGAAAAGGAGGAGGAGGAAAAGGAGGAGGAAGGGGAGGATGAAGAGGAGGAGGAAGAGAAGAAGGAGGAGGGAAAGGACGAGGAGGAGGGCGAGGAGGGCGAGGGCGGGGTCTCTTCAGGAGCAACGCTCGTGGTGGACAGGCCCAGGGGGGGATAGGCCAGTCGAGGCAACGGCGGCCCTCCCTCCCTGTCGTTGTTTTTTTTGGTTTGTCCTCGCTTCTCACCCCTTGCTCCTCCTCCTCCTCCTCCTCCTCCTCTTCCCCGCCCCCGCCTCAGCCTCCTCCTCCTCGGTCCTCGGTCCTCGGTCCTCGGTCCTCCTCCTCATCCTCCTCCTCCTGCTTCTCGTCGCCGCGGCTGGACCCGCGTCGAAAAACTGGTCAGAATGGACCCTGGGAGAGTCTGGGGACCGACTTTGATTGCATCTACGCTGGGGGGGATGCATCGGCAACGTTAGGGGGGGTATAGGCGCTCGACGGTTCGATGTTTAAGGTTTTCTGGCGTTTTCTTTGGTTCTCGGCGGTTTTCCAGCCTCGAGGCGCTTTCTATCAGCTGCGCCTCGCCGAGAGCGTCTGGTTGGCGCCCAGATTGTTCGGAGCAGCCGCCGGAGAGCCGAATTATGACTCGAGAGCCAGTGGGCAACGACAGGGGGGAGTAGGCTCAGTGGGGGCATTTTTGTTTCCTCTTCGTGGCCAAGGCCTTGTAAATTCACATGCAACACCCGGCCCGCGCGCGGGCCGCCGCCTTGGCCCGCGCGAGGCCAGCTGCCGCCCCACGGGCTCTGGCCTCGGCCGCCGTCGCAAAGGGCGGCAGGATGAGACCAGCCGACCGCACGGCAAAACCGCACCCGCGGGCGGCGCCTCTCCGCGCTGGCGCCCGCCGTGCCGCTCAACGTCGGCTCCAGCCTCGCTGCCAGCGCTGGCCCCAGCCGTGGGCCCGCTCGCCTGGCCTTCCAGGTCGGCCCCGAGCTTCTCAGCCCAGCGGCTCCTCGCCTCGGGGGAAGGCCCCACTAGCGTGCCGAAGAACTGCTGCTGCTTGGTGTTCGGCCCGAAGCCCTTGTCGATGTCGTGGCGCGCCTGCGCCCGCGAGCCAGCGCGCTGGCGGCTGGCGCCCTTGCACTGGTCCCTGAGCCCCTTCCAGGCCATCTTCGGGACTGGCGAAGAGAAAGCAGGTCGTGCAGACCATGAGCTCACCCTCTCCACCTTCAGGCACCCCCATCATCAGCTTGTGGCCGTGGACGTCCCAGGGCTCGCTGGTGGGCGCCCCGCCCGCCTGGGCCGCAGCAGCCGCTGCCTCCTCGGGGGCCTGGAGTCGTCGCGACATCTGGCGGCCCGCCCTGCACGTAGGCGGAGCCGCCGCAGGCCTCTCGCGCACCCGCACGTCCCCTGGTGGGACCTCGACGCCAGCAGCCGCCCCGCCTGAGGCCGCAGCCAGCGCAGCCGCCGCTGCCTCATCGCCAGGGGAGCCCCCTGTCGCCGCTCTGAACTCCGCCTCGTCAGTCCAGGTCCGCTAGCGCCGCGGTCGGCCAGCAGTCGCGGGCCCCTACCTCCGTCACGTGGGCCTCCAGCTCAGACGCATACCTGGCCACGTCGCGGGCCTTAGCCGCCAAACCTTCGAGCAGCAGGATGTCCTCGTCATCAGCGGCTTGCAAGCCCGCGCCGAGCTTAGCCCTCCTGTCGGCCAGGCGGTTGCCCTCCCTCTCCCGCTCCGAGATTTCGCCGCGGCGCACCGCCTCCTCGGACGTGTGGGCAGGGATGTGCCTGGCCGAGACCCCGAGCGGGGCGTCAGCGACCCGCACCCAGAGGTGGGCATGCAGCGAACTAGGGCTCTGAGCGCGCGGCAGGTCCATGATGTAGTCTACGGTGCCCTTGCAATCGCTCAAGATCTCGAACTCCCCGATACTCTCCGTGAGCGCTACCACCGCCGCGTAGTCCTCACCAGCTCTGGCCAGCTGGGTTGGCAGCTCGCGGGGCAGAACCGCACCCCACGCCTGCGCAGTGATCAGGCCCTCCGACGACATCACGATGACCGCCCAACCCGCACTGCGCAGGGTGGGGAACCTGCTGTTCACGCAGGAGCCGTCGGTGAAAATCTGGGAACCAGGAGCCACCGCCATGGGGTTCTCCCAACCGATCTGCTGGCGTTCCCACATCGGCTGCCACAAGGGCCGCTTCAGGAGCCCAGCCGCATCCACGAGCAGGCCCTGGGCATACAGCTCGCCGAACTTGTTCCCAAGGCCGCCGCCGCCGCCGCCGCGCCGCCGCCGCCGCTGCCGCCGCCTCCGCCTCCGCCTCCGCCTCCGCCTCCGCCTCCGCCTGGACAAGGATGCGCTGCGCGCCGATGCCATGCCCCGCCACGTCATCGATCACGTTGACCACTCGTCCAACTCGGAGAAGGCCGCGACCACGAATGAGCAAGTCGTACAGCATCAGCCTAGCCATCGTGGTCGCACAGGAGCAGCCAGCTATCACCAAACCTCTTGCGCGGAGCTCCTCACTGACGGCACCGTCCACCGTGGCGCGCCTCGGCCCCGCGTAGGCCACGCAGAGGGCATTGACCAGGCCAGGGCTGAAGCCGTGTTGCTGCGACGCCACCAGCAGCTGGTGGTGGTCCATCCACTCCACTCGTAGTTGCTGAAAGTACGCAGATGCTCCCTCAAAGCCTCGGGAACGCGCCAGGCCCAAGTACAAGTTGTGCAAGTAGGTGGCTCTGTCGCAGCACGTGTCCGAGTTGCTGCCCCAGATCTCAGGTATCTGGTGCTCCTCCTCCCAAGCAGCACAGCACCGACGCCTGATGCGGCCACAGGGGCGAATCCAGAACGCCATCAGCCCGATGGGCCTCCTGCCGCCGTCAGGCTTGGAGAGGAAGACGACCGGCGTGGTGACGAGGCCCGAGGGGTGAGGGTCGCGCTCCCACGCCGTCAGCAGCGCACCGACGCGATCCGCGAAGGGCCGCCCCAGCAGCAGCAGCAGCAGCAGCAGCAGCAGGCACGGGTGGAAGGCGTCCCATCCCAGCGCGGTCCGCTTGGGAAATGACTGCGCCGCGCGCAGCACCTCGGCGCCAGTGATGTCAGGCAGGTCCATGGTCACCTTCCAGCTCTCAGGTGGACCAGGACCATGCGCGACCCCCTCCTGGTCCGTCAACTTGGCCTCTCCTCTGACAATCCACCGCTGCTTCCACTCCGGGAGAATCTGGTCGAGGGCGGCCTGTCCCGCCAGCGTGACCACGGGGCCGCCTCGGTCGGAGTCCAAGGGCGAGAGCTCTTCTCCTGCTGGCGGCTTGCTGACAGCATGGGCGCCCCTGCCGCCACCTGCCGGCGCGTTGTCCACGAAGTCGTGCCAGCGGCTGCGGGCGAGCTGGGCGTCCGACTTGGCGTGCTTCTCCGTGGCCGCCTGGATGGCGCCCAGGAAGAATCTGCCTCGCTCGTGGACGCTTTAGCTTCGTCAAGCAGCAGCCGCGTGTTCTCGAGCGTGAACATGTCGGAGCCCTGCTGGGTGAAGTTAGGCACCAGAGCCAGCGCAGCGCCCTCCAGGTTCGCCATGTACTCCTGGTGCCCAGCCGGCTGCGCCTGCACCGCCGCGGCCGCCGCCAGCTGCCGCGCCAGCCTCCCCAGCGACATACAGAGCCTCGTCAGCGGGTTGACCTTCCGGGCGGTCTCCGTGCGCTGCAGGTCCTTCAGGCACTTCCGCACGCGCTTCAGCCCCTGCGAGCGTCCAGAGTAGGCGTCGCCGTCCTGGATCTCGAAGAGGGCGACGAGGTGCTGCTCCGCCACGTCGTAGAACTCCCGAACAGCCTCGTCGGGAGAGCCACAGGCGTCCAGCAGCGGCGCCCGCCACCGAACCCCCTGGGCTCGGGCTTCCGCGCGCTCCAGAGCAGCAGGGGGCACCGCCTCCGACAACTCAAATCTCCTCGGACTCTTCAGCACCCACGCGCTCGCCAACGCGCCCAGCCTGGCAAAGGCGAGCCGCGCTGGCACGTGTGGGTGGGTCACCGCTGGTCGCAACGCTTCGGCCTGGGGCTTGAGCGCCGATAGCGACGCAGAGATCACGAAGTAGTCGTACTTCCTGCCTTTGCACGTCGCGTGCTGCGGCTCCAACAGCGCCCCTCCGATGGGACGCGACCACCAAGAGTTGAGGAGGTCCTGGGGCTCCATGTGCCAGCCGCCCGCGGCAATGTAGGGCTCACTGACCGAGTTCAGAAATT